GCGAGTAAACATTGCGACTCCTCGGCTCCAAGGCTCCTCGTCCTCTTCTTCCCATTTCACGACATGATTTCGTGTTTCAGGATGGTCCACGAGGGCCAGATAAGCCTCCAGAGCTTCCTTCTAGGCCTGGGGATCCTGAGTTACTTCCTTGTGACGTGCGGGTTATGGTCGCCGCGGCTCGGAGTGGCGGAGGAGTGGCTGCAGGACCACCCCTGGGTCTACTGCGGCTGCTTCTGTGCCTCCGTCAACGCCGTCCTCGCCCTGGCCTTCAGGGGCAAGAGCTGGCAGGTGGGTGGCGTTGGGAGCTCAAGGTTGAGGGACTGCAGGCTCTCCTGTTTTCTTTTGCTCATTTCGAGGATTTCTCTTTCGGAGGAGGGACAAGTGTGCTAGAGATGCTGTGGGCTTTGGGAACATCTCCTGTGGGGTTGGTCTGAGCCACAAAACATGCTTATTAATAGAGTTTAGAGCTACATTTTGGAGAGAAAACAATAGAAAAATGCAGGAGGGAAGAAGATAGGGGGTTGCCTGGGCAAAATATTCCATACAGTAATAAAATTATTGTTTCACTCATTCCATTACATTCACAAGTAAAAAGACATGGGAACTATAAATGTTTGAGGGGCTTAGGAAGAGGATGCGAGTGAGGGTATGTGGACGATTTGGTGAGTGTGGCTGGAGAAACTTATCAGACAGAACCAGGTTTTTTAGTTAACAGTACATGAACCTCACTCACAGCCAAATTGAGGTAGGAAAAAAGCCAGGAAGTTTTATCTAGCTTATGTAAGGCAATGTCACTGTTATGGTTATTAGAATTTTATAAATGCAGCAAGCCATGAGATCATTTTCACTTGAACCTTAGGGGTAAAGGATTGCATTGTTGCCATCCATTACAATAGAATTTATGAATACTGACCTACTTTATTTTCACTTGTTTTCACTCTTTATATTACAATTTAGTTTGATTCATAGATCATTGTATATGTAGTCTTATTTTATACTTGCCACATAGTTATTATTTCTTAACAATTTTTATTTTTTAAGAAAATATGAACATTATTTTACACTTCAGATCCTCAGAGGATTTATCATTATTCTCAAGGTCATTGATAGATTTCTTTCAAAAGCCTTTAACCCAATTCTGCTGGGGGTTAATCTTTATGGTTTGGACACACTAAGCTAGGGCAAATTGAAGATGATATTCTTATGGAGTACAAAAAGTTACTGTCGTCGGCACAGGAACTAATCTGCAGACACAAACGGTAACGCCACAAATAAAGGAAAAAGGTCGTGGATAGCGCCACTCACAGCCTAAGTCCAGTCGGTGCTCCAGTGGCTAAGTCCACTCGTTCGGTGCAAAAGAATAAGATGCCGCGCAACTCGTACACCATGTTCTTTTCGTACTGCGCACCTACCTCATCACAACGTCACGACCAATCAGGAGGCGGCAGTTTAGCAGAGATTTTAATTGCTCATTAAAGTTTTAGTAAAATATTCCATATACTTTATTATGTAAATATACACGGCCATATAATTACAGTTAATATATATATATTCGCATTTTAGCCGTTTTTATGTAAAATGTTTTCATGCTTACTGTCTTAAACCTATTAAAAATTTTAATTGTATAACTACTCAAACAATACCCTCCCCATGGGCAGTGCCCGAAGGGCACGCCCAGTCACGGCACTTGGTCTGTTGAGTTTGGTTCGCATTTCCGAAAAGTCAAATTTCTTTGCATTCATAATTTCCTTTGGTCATTTACTGGCACTCAAATCAAACTGAGGCTACCCCCCCAACCCCCGGTTCTCCACGTGTCCCCCAAGATCGTTGGCTGGAATTGGGGACTTAGTCTCTAGCGAGTGCGTCCAAACCGTAAAGAATTACCCTGCTGGGAAAATGAATAAAAAATGGGGAAAATACTGTGCTCATTTTTTTTTTGGAGGGGGGGGGAGGATTTTCTGCATATAGATAACTCTGCTAGTGCTTAGCCACAAAGGAGTCAATGAGTAGACCTTATAACCTTACCTGATTTGAATTGGCGGGAAAAATGTATTTTTTACTAGTGCTATAAATATCCTAGTGTTATTTTTATTATAAACATTATAATTACTATAATGTTATGAACATTAGTAACAGCAAAATAAGATAATGTAAAATATTTTCGTAAATCAAAGAAAAGGGTAAAAGGGCGAGACAGGCAGTATGAATGATGTTGTGCCTTAACCATTGCATGATGATACTAAAATTACAAGGAGGTTGCTTAAATTGCACTGTATTATGCTGGCTGAAAGAAGTCTTGATAAGAATATAGTATGTGAATATCTCATGCACCTGTTTCTTTGTGTATTATGCTGCGTTCGGAACTCCTTGTCTTCCTCGTCCAGACAACTTGTCAGGACCAGCAGGACAAGGAGGCCATGATTCTCTGAGGCCTTCACTATCCACAATGCAACCAGCTTTAAGATAAACATTCACTTGTTTATTTTACCAGTATCTTTAT